AAAAATAAAAAAAAATAATTCGTTTCTTCGTGGGCCACCAAGTGGGTGCTGGCGGGCCTCACACAGCCCGCATATTGTGCAGGAGTGGTCTAAACAAATCTTTTCTTTAGTTTTATGCAGTTTTTGTCTCCTGTATTATCATTGTATTGTATTTTTACAGTTACTTCCCTTTGTTATCAATGGAGTAAAACCCGTGTTTGTTGTATTCAGATAACAGACGTCATGTTGTTTATTGTATTAAGATATCAGACGTCATCTTGTTTATTGTAATCAGATATCAGAAGCCATGTTGTTTTTTCTTGTAACTAGCTATTTAAGATCTGGACACGAAGCTGTGCAGATGTGTTAGCGCTCTCTGAGTTAGATATGGTAGTACTAAACTTAACATTGCCCAGTAAAGAAAGATGACAGGATGACAGAGACGCGAAAAAAAGAGCCCCGAACATTGTACATTCACAGTTCTACGTAACAAACAGCGAAAATATTCTTAAAATATCTTACTTTAGATTTCGAAGACACCTTCCACCCATCGGTCTCTGTCAAGATCTTAGTCCCACGCTCATTAAACCGTTGGAAGTCCTTTTCATACTCCATCTCTGCAAGTTCTATTGTCTCTGAGAAGTAAGTCCCTATAGTCTCTGAGAAGTAAGTGTCTATTGTCTCTGAGAAGTAAGTGTCTATTGTCTCTGATAAGTAAGTCCCTATAGTCTATGAGAAGTAAGTCCCTATAGTCTCTGAGAAGTAAGTCCCTATTGTCTCTGAGAAGTAAGTCACTATAGTCTCTGAGAAGTAAGTCACTATAGTCTCTGAGATGTAAGTCCCTATTGTCTCCGAGAAGTAAGTGTCTGTTGTCTCTGATAAGTAAGTACCTATTATTATCTCTGAGATGTAAGTATCTATTATCTCTGAGAAGTAAGTATCTATTGTCTCTGAGAAGTGATTATCTATTGTCTCTATGAAGGTAGTCCCTGTGGTCTCTGAGAAGTATAGATATCTATTGTCTCTGAGTGCTACTCAACATAAGGGCTACTCTTACCGCTACGCTACTGTTGTGAGGCAATATTGAATTACCAATATCTTAACCGCCTTCTACTACTATGGCTGATGTGTAGAGATAGTGTTTCATTGCAACGATCATCTGGTTGCTCTAGATATACAGTTGTTTGAGAAATAGACAACTAAGTCATTGTATTATTCAAATGTAGCTTTTTTATATACAATATAAGATTATATTTGCCCAAGCTTCATATTTAGAGGGGTCTCAAATTTACACATTGTATCCATAGGAGATCAATGATAGATAATTCTAAATTGAACAATCCCATTTTTTCCTTTGTATAGAGCTTACGGCTTCCCGTTGGATATACTTATGAATATTTTTTAAAAATTTCTTTTATATTTATCGGGTGCATTAATAAAAAAAAATGTGGTCTTGGCCTAGAGATATCAATGGACATCACTGGACACCACTGGCTTATAGAAAACTACTGGGAGGGTAATTATTTGAAGAAAACAGTCAGCATCACCATGCACGAAAAAACATCCAGAAACAAAAGTCTTACCAAGACTATTTTATAAAGTATAATATTATATGCTATCTTATGAATATATGTTCATAAATATTCTATAAAAGTCTATTGACTTCAATGCCGGACACCCTAAACTAAATTTGACACTAGCAAATTTTCGAACAAGCCTAATACCGATATAAAATAAGAATGACTTTACTTTTTAAAATCTTTGTTTGTTGTTCGTCCGTCGAGGATCGACGATGACCATCGAGTCGTCCGGTGACTGATGACTTGCGCTAGTGACTTTCGTTTAAAGTGAGGAAGAGTTGCGCGGCGTCATTCTCACTCTCTCTCGTCCGGGCCCACCATATCCAGTGGTAAGACTCTATGTCAAGACGAGTAGGGATGGGTACGGTTGCAGGAATTGTCATTGTATGCGCCTTACGGGATTCCAACTCCGGGTTTGAAGTCAGAGTTTCCTTCTGTTAGATGAGTTGCCGACCAAGGTTAACGAGTCTCATCCACCCGGGGTGATGTTTTTGCTTGACTGGCCTGTGGCTGAAATTGAGGTCTCTGGAATTGAGCATTGGTCTCAGTTTGTGTTGACCAGCATGGGTCTCAGTTTGAGTTGACCAGCATGGGTTTCAGTTTGTGTTAACCAGCATGGGTCTCAGTTTGTGTTGACCAGCATGGGTCTCATTTTGTGTTTAACATACAATGGTCCTAGTTTGTCTTGACCAGCATGGGTCTCAGTTTGTGTTGACCAGCATGGGTCTTAGTTTGTCTTGACCAGCATGGGTCTCAGTTTGTGCTGACCAGAATTGGCATTAATTTGTTTTGATCAAGATGTGCCTTAGTTTGTGTTGACCAGCAAGGGTCTCAGGTTGTGTAGACCAGCATGGGTCTCAGTTTGTGTTGACCAGCATGGGTCTCAGTTTGTGTTGATCAGCAGTTGTCTCAGTTTGTCTTGACCAGAATGGGTCTTAGTTTGTCTTGACCAGCATCGGCGAAAGTTTTTCTTTAGCAGCATGGGCCTTAGTTTGTCTTAACCAATATGGACCTTAGTTTGGCTTGACCAATATGGGCCTTAGTTTGTCTTAACCAGCATGGGCATTAGTTTGTCTTGACCAGCATGGGCCTTAGTTTGTCTTGACCAATATAGGCCTTAGTTTGGCTTGACTAGCATGGGCCTTATTTTGTCTTGACCAATATAGGCCTTAGTTTGGCTTGACTAGAATGGGCCTTACTTTGTCTTGACCAATATGGGCCTTAGTTTGTCTTGACCAGCATGGGCCCTAGTTTGTCTTGACCAATATAGGCCTTAGTTTGGCTTGACCAATATATGCCCTAGTTTGGCTTGACTAGCATGGGTCTTAGTTTGTCTTGACCAGCATGGGCTTTATTTTGTCTTGACCAGCATGGGCCTTAGTTTGTCTTGACCAGCATGGGCCTTAGTTTGTCTTGACCAGCATGGGCCTTAGTTTGTCTTGACCAGCATGGGCCTTAGTTTGTCTTGACCAACATGAGTCTTAGTTTGTCTTGCCCAGCATGAGTCTTTGTCTTGACTAGCAAGGGCCTTAGTTTGTCTTGACCAATATAGGCTTTATTTTGTCTTGACCAGCATGGGCCTTAGTTTGTCTTGATCAGCATGGGCCTTAGTTTGTTAGTTTGTCTTGACCAGCATGGACCTTAGTTTGTCTTGACCAGCATGAGTCTTAGTTTGTCTTGACCAGCATGGTCTTAAATTGTCTTGACCAGCATGAATCTTAGTTTGTCTTGACCAGCATGGGTCTTAGTTTGTCTTGACCAGCATGAGTCTTAGTTTGTCTTGACCAGCATGGTCTTAAATTGTCTTGACCAGCATGAGTCTTAGTTTGTCTTGACCAGCATGGGTCTTAGTTTGTCTTGACCAGCATGAGTCTTAGTTTGTCTTGACCAGCATGAGTCTTAGTTTGTCTTGACCAGCATGAGTCTTACTTTGTCTTTACTAGCATGGGCCTTAGTTTGTCTTGACCAGCATGAGTCTTAGTTTGTCTTGACCAGCATGAGTCTTAGTTTGTCTTGACCAGCATGAGTCTTAGTTTGTCTTGACCAGCCTGAGTCTTAGTTTGTCTTGACCAGCATGGGTATTAGTTTGTCTTGACCAGCATGGGCCTTAGTTTGTCTTGACCAGCATGGGTATTAGTTTGTCTTGTCCAGCATGGGCCTTAGTTTGTCTTGACCAGCATGAGTCTTAGTTTGTCTTGACCAGCATGGGCCTTAGTTTGTCTTGACCAGCATGAGTCTTAGTTTGTCTCTACCAGCCTGAGTCTTAGTTTGTCTTGACCAGCATGGGTATTAGTTTGTCTTGACCAGCATGGGTATTAGTTTGTCTTGACCGGCATGAGTCTTAGTTTGTCTTGACCAGCATGAGTCTTAGTTTGTCTTGACCAGCATGGGCCTTAGTTTGTCTTGACCAGCGTGAGTCTTAGTTTGTCTTGACCAGCCTGAGTCTTAGTTTGTCTTGACCAGCATGAGTCTTAGTTTGTCTTGACCAGCATGGGCCTTAGTTTGTCTTGACCAGCATGAGTCTTAGTTTGTCTTGGGTTTGTTTTCATTTATCAGTGATGAAGTCATACCTTTGTTAAAGTTTTAAAAAAATGATTAAACAACCAGCACATTACATACGTGAAAAGCATGTGATCCAAGACCACATGTCCCAATCATTGATCCAATCATTGACCAAATCATTGACCCAATAATTGACCCAATCATTGACCTAATCATTGTCCCAATCATTGTCCCGAACATTTTCTCTTTTGTTTCAACAAATTTATGTTTTTCATCTACTTGAAGGCATTTCACCTGGCACAGCTAGCATCGTCTGGCAACACAGCTAGTATCATCTGGCGGCACAGCTAGCATCATCTGGTGGCACAGCTAGTATCGTCTGGTTTCACAGCAGCATCATCTGGCGGCCCACCGGTTTCTGAATTCTGCCCTAAGATATTTTACATAAGGGGTGGGTCCCCTTTGGGTCACCATTGTTCCTGTATCCAACAAGCTTTACGTCTGCCATCCACCCCATAAGACGCTTTGTTGGTACATTTTGGTTTCGGGTGGAAAAGGGGGGGGGAGGGATTTGTATCGTCAGCCTGCTGATGAACCTTTTCGTGTCATAGCTGGCACGCGTGTCATATGTTGCCGCTCGCCGATTTTTTAAACCCGTTTGAAGCTTCACTTGAAAAGCCATCAATCAGATTCGTATTTGAGTTTTGATACACACGTGACCTAAAATATCTTGTTATTTCTTAAGCAGATCAAACAAAACACAAGACAGAGCCCAACATGAATGGCTAGTTTTATTGTTTTCATTAAGGGGTGCAAAAAGTATCCAGTTAGTTATGATATAGTTTTATAACATATGAGATAACAAAAATTATGAAAAATGGATTAAATTAATAAGCACTTAAATATATATATATATATATATATATATATATATATGATGTCACTGGAATCAAAAGTCATATACTTAAAAGTCATAAAATAATTATCTCATTAATTTTAGCAAATAGTTTTGTACTGGAATTCATTCGTTGTTGAAGTTTTAGTCTGCTAAAAGCAAAGACGCAAAATGGAAGGCTTTCTTACTGCGTTGACCTACGGCTGGTAGCCCAACTTCTCTAAATATTTCAGCCAGTTTGCGACAGAACTGACCAGGACTGTGGAGATTGTTGCATCAATCAAAGCACGGGGAATCTTGCCTTTAAAGTCCATCTCAGTGGCAGAGATCAGTCGGGAATAGCCAGGCTTGCTGTGGAGTGGACAGTGGGCAGTAGAACATGGTCGGTGAACAGTGGTCAGTGGACAGTGGAGAAGTGGGGCAGCGGAGAGTGGTCAGTGGGCAGAAGAAAATGGTCAGTGAACAGTGATCAGTGGACAGTGTAGAAGTGGGGCAGCGGAGAGTGGTCAGTGGGCAGAAGAAAATGGTCAGTGAACAGTGGGCAGTGGACAGTGGAAAGTGGAGAGTAGTCAGTGGAGAGTATTTAGTGGAGAGTAGTCAGTGGGTGCGCTCAGTGGAGTGTGGTCAGTGGAGGGAGGTCAGTTGACAGTGGAGAGTGGTAATTTGTAACTTCTTATTGTCACATCATTTGTTTCCATCTAATCATTATTGTTGTTTTAAAAAAAGAAATTCCTGTGGTAGAATGTGTGAGATATCGTGTGTATCAAAACTATAGGTAGTTTTGTATGTGGGATTGGTTTCTATTTATCTATAATTTGAAGCTGAAATTGTGAAACAATATTTAATGCCAATTTTATGTCAAAATGATGAAGGCGAACCATACTAATTTATTCGACGATCATTGAATTTATTTCGAATGTAATTAAAAACTCAACAAATAAAGTTAACTATCTGAAAAAATCAGTGCTAAGACGCCATATAAATAATTCCTTTATAGGTCGAGTAATCATGGCGTCCTTTATCGAATCGGTCAACTAAAGCTAAATGCCATCTACAACTCAATTATCCCGACGAGCGCTTCATTGCTTGCATTTACAGAAGTTCCCCAGAAGATCCATCGTCACAAAACATGTGAACAAACATTTGAATCGATTGATTCGACGCTCCGTTCAGTGATAAGTTTACAAAATCAGACCTGATATATTCAAACTGATTGGTTTCATGTTGTACGGGATACCGAACACTTCATTTTATTCCACATGCCTGCTTCACTCTTTGTGAACAAATGAACAAATGAACAACCTCTGCTTCTCCTAAGAAGTTGATACTGTCCAGGAAAGATGACCTCATCTATAACCAATTCTTCTATCAAAGTTTTGAGGTTGATATATATATATATATATTAAAACATTAATAATCCTTAAGCCGATGTGTTAGAAAACTCTTTTTTTTTTTTTTTAGAGGGAAACAACTTTATTTCATTTAATAGTCTTTTATTATTCAAGTAACCCTCCATCAAGAAATTAGTGTAATTTTTTTCCGCTCTTGAAAACTGAATTTTAATATATATATATATATTTTTAATTCCCCATTCACCCATTTTAGCCGTTACCAAACCCGTTTTGTTAAGCCAAAGACAGTCAGGGACCCCCCTTCTCCTGCTTTAGCATGGACACCCAGCACGAGAAGATGAACGGAGAGTTAACAAATCCAGACTTTAAACACGCAGATCCGAAGAAATGAATTAATGACGTCAGTTTAAAGAAAAACATGAGCTATTTTATATTCAGTCATCGCTTCAAGGTACGATCCATTTGATCTGACTCACCTCGGGTCTTTGTCAACTCTAAAACCATAGGCACCACTGAAACCTCTGACGTATTTGTCGTCTGATTGAATTTCTGGGTAATCGATACTGCCACCTGATGAGAAAAGAACAAGGAGGAGAGATAATTCACTGCAATATTTTAGCCTCTTTAATCTAATTATAGTAATTTGATAACTTTAATTATCAACTTTCTTATTTTTACCGCTAAGTCATATGGGGTCTGTAGAATTAAAAAAAGTAACAAACTCAGACCTAATATACATCATAATACAACATTTCATCACTACAACATTTTATCACTACAACATTTCATCACTACAACATTTCATCACTATAACATTTCATCACTACAACAGTTCATCACTACAACAGTTCATCACTACAACAGTTCATCACTACAACAATTCACCGCTACAACAATTCATCACTACAACATTTTATCACTACAGCATTTCATCACTACAACAGTTCATCACTAAAACAATTAATCACTACAACAATTCACCACTACAACATTTCATCACTACAACAGTTCATCACTACAACAGTTCATCACTATAACATTTCATCACTACAACAGTTCATCACTACAACATTTCATCCCTACAACATTTGAAAGGTCGTTTACCTGTGAGTAAGAAGCCGTCATCAAATTCTTCCAGGCAACACAAATCAACAAACTCTCGAGGGGAGATGATTCCTTTCCCCAACCCATTGGATCGAGTTATTTGCAACCATTTTTTCTTGAGATTCAAACATAAACAATGACATATTATGTTAGATTTGTCATCTAAACATAACTAATGCCATAATTTATTACCATTGATATTGTACTTATGAGTGGTGGTAAGTATACGTTCATTACAAATAGATGCATTGTTATCTCCCTTTGTTAACACCTAACTCTTTGTTGAAATTAAGGGATTATAATTTGTACTTCATACATTCAGAAGCTAATGAAATAAGATCTTATTATCTGTACTTCAAACATTCAGTAGGTACTGAAATCAGATCTTATTATCTGTACTTCAAACATTCAGTAGGTAATGAAATAAGATATTATCATTTTTATTCCAAAACAATCAGTAGCTTATCAAATAAGATATTATCATTTGTACTTTAAGCACTCCCAGTAGCCTACTTGAAAACGATGAGTATTAAAAATATATGCAAGAATATATGTAATGAAAAGGAAATATGGCGTGAGTCATACAGCGGGGTAGTGTGAGGTTGCTGGGTGGGGAGATCAAAGAGGTGAACAAGGAGATTGTACAAGGTGGTGGGAAGAGCAAAGCGATGAGTGAGGAGATGTTACGAGATGGTGGGGTGATCAAAGAGGTGAACAAGCAGATTGTACAAGATGGTGAACAAGGAGATTGTGGGGAGAGCAAAGACTGAAGAGGTGCAGGGGGAGATGGTCGGAGATGATGGAGAGAGCAAAGATGTTCAGGAGGATATGGTCCAAGATGATGGGGAGAGCAAAAAGGTGCAGGAGGAGATGGTACGAGATGATTGCGGGAGCATTGAGCAAAGTAAGTACTTCTGGAGAGGCAGGGAGTGAGCGAGAAAGAGAAAGGGTGGGATAGAAAGAGAGAGAGAGAGAGGGCGTGGGGGCAGAGAGCGAGGATAAAGGGTTTATGCGAGAGGAGGTTAATCTGTTGAGAGAACGGTTATAATATAGGTAAGAAAACGTGAAACAGGAAGTTTTGGTTTAGATTGAAAATGACAGGCACATCCATTCGGTGAGAGGGAATGGAATGGCAGGCAAGTCCCTGTGGTGATAGGGAATGGGATGACAGGCAAGTCCCTGCGGTGATAGGGAATGGAATGGCAGGCAAGTCCCTGCGGTGATAGGGAATGGGATAGCAGGAGACAGTAGGTGGGTGATTCCTGGTGACAAATCAGGAGAGGGGGGGGGCAGCTACTTGAGTGATAGATAGGTGGACATTAAAGGGGCAATGATGTTGATAGTATGGGTGGGGGTGGGGGGTGGGAAGGTCAGGATAGGGCATCGTGGGGTTGGGGAAAGAATTAGTGCTAAATGTCAAATGAGATTCTATGGGATGGTGTAGTTGGTGGAGAGATGTGCGTATGGGTAGACGTCGGGGATGGTGACAGCTGGGTATGGAGAGGAGAGAGCGCAGGATAGAGTTAGATGGAGAAGTATTTGTGTATGGCAATTTTAAATGGACAAATCAATATTACACTCAATATGTGCACTCTTTATTTCTCTCAATATCAAGTTCAATCAAACTGGCTACCAGAAACATAGGGCCATAAACATAGGGCCAGAAAATTACGACGAGAAACTTAGGGACATAAACTTAGGGCCAGAAACTTAGGGCCAGAAACTTAGGGCCAGAAACTTAGGGCCAGAAACTGAGGGCCAGAAACTGAGGGCCAGAAACTGAGGGCCAGAAACTGAGGGCCAGAAACTGAGGGTCAGAAACTGAGGGCCAGAAACTGAGGGCCAGAAACTGAGGGCCAGAAACTGAGGGCCAGAAACTGAGGGTAGGGCCAGAAACAGAGGGCCAGAAACTTAGGGCCAGAAACTTAGGGCCAGAAACTGAGGGCCAGAAACTGAGGGCCAGAAACTGAGGGCCAGAAACTGAGGGCCAGAAACTGAGGGCCAGAAACTGAGGGCCAGAAACTGAGGGCCAGAAACTTAGGGCCAGAAACTTAGGGCCAGAAACTTCGGGTTTACTTTTATTAGCACATTACACCTTCCAAAGTGTTTTATGTGAAATGATTGACACGTTTTTCAAAGTTGTTTGATATTGACGTATTGTATGATCCTGGCTTACAGAGAATTAGTCAAATATTCAAGCAATTTCAATAAAAACAAGTCACTTCCACCCTAATCCACAATATATACTGTGTTTGGTGATGTGGGCAGGGGGAAGAGGGAGCGCTGAAAGCTCTCATTTACAATGCGGTATGTGTAACAGCTTTGAACGTGCTCTATCAGTCAGAATACTTCCATCCAGTGGCGTAGCTAGTCAGAATACTTATATTCAATGGCGTAGCTAGGGTTGGTGACGCTCGGGAAAAGCCAAGATCCGCCCCCCCCCACACACTTTTTTGGGGGGTCGATACTATATTTTTTCCCATTTGCCAAAAATTGCTGTACTTGAATGTATCAACACAACAACAACAACAACAACAACAACAAACTGCCGTATACGTATATTAATAAAAATCCAACTGATTTAATGTGTTATTTTTTAGATATATGTTTTTTTTTTTTTTTTTAAATTATGGTAAATACAATTTATTTATAGCCCGGTAAAGTAAAATCATAGTCCACCCGCTAATTGTCCCTTTAAAAAAACCTCACCGAACTATTTAAATTGGGTGACAAATTTAAACGTGAACAAAATTGTTCAACGGCACATAAATGCGTTGATACATACAACAAAACCAATCATTATTATGATTTCGAGAAAGCGATGTATAAATCAACATTTAAAAAAAAAAATTGTTTTGGATAGACCAAATTGTTTTTTTCCTAGTAAGCTAACTGGAACAGTTCAAAAGGGGGAAATGCATGCTTAAACCTACGTCAGAAAATCTCTTGAGTTCAATGACCTCCTTGACATCCGTGTCCCACTCTTTTCTTCTGTTACCTGGCAACAGGGTGAACGTGTCTCTGATGACGTTGACAGGAACTTTAATTGTGATGGTCATCCGATTACTGGAACATTCCATTAAAAAAAAAATAATTAAATTTGTCTTTAACAAAAAAATTGGGGGGGAGGGTGAGATCTATTGACTGTGGATAAGCTTCAGACCATCGAGTCCTGCCAGACATTTTGATAGACGTAGTTTATCTGGTGTTTAATGATATAACAAGAACCACAACAACAATAAATCATGTTTTCATGAAGTCAACAATAAGATGAGATTTTTGTTAGAGATGATGCCGTTGGTTTATCTATAACATTATAAATATGAAACTTGCTATCTCAACAGTATCATGACTTGTATAATCTTTGCATGGAATTAACTCTTAGCATAAATGTTTGAGTGATGAATGACAATAATTTCAGTATGCTTTGACTTTCATTGGTTTTCGTTCCATACATTCTCATTAGTTATGGCTGCATACATTCTCAATTCTTGGAGAAAAAATAAATACTTGATACAAACTTACATGGTACAGTTGCGTGATACCAACTTACATGGTACACTTGTAAGATACAAACTTACATGGTACAGTTGCGTGACACAAACTTACATGGTACAATTGCGTGATACCAACTTACATGGTACAATTGTAAGATACAAAATTACATGGTATAGTTGCTTGATACCAACTTACATGGTACAGTTTCGTGATAAAAACTTACATTGTACAGTTGTAAGATACAAACTTACATGGTACAGTTGTAAGATACAAACTTACATGGTACAGTTGTAAGATACAAACTTACATGGTACAGTTGTAGAGCTCTGATGACTTTGTTTCTATCTTTAAATTCTCCTGGAAATGTATAAAAGAATACGTGTTGACAGTTTTTGTCTATTAAAGAAAGATGACAGGATGACAGACACACTAAAAAAAAAACAAAAAAAAAACGACAATTGCATCTACACAAACAGTAACAAACAGTTGAAAAATATCTTAAAATATCGTACTTTAGATTTCGAAGACACCTTCCATCCATCCGTCTCTGTCATGATCTTAGTCCCACGCGTCTTTAACCGCTGGAAGTCCTTTTCGTACTCCATCTCTGCAAGCTCTATAGTCTCTGAGAAGTACGACCCTTTTAGCCACCGGACCAGTCTGTCTGTGGCTGAGACGAGTCGATCAACCCAACAGCCGATGCCTGGATTAGAGGAAGTGTTCATATTTATAAGCCGATGACAACGTCTGTATAAGTGCTACTCAACATATGGGAAGTTCCCTTTAAGCGGCAAGAGTTCCAATAACATGACGTCGTATGGCGTAAGATAACGAAGGAATACAAAATTATTTTCGGAGAGAAAAGAGCATAATGGGTTGGTGCATATCATTTCCGCATTCATGTCATTTGTGGTTGTCATGATTTGGCTGAGTAAACGTGGCTTGGATGACGTCACCGTGAATTGCGAGGAAAGAAATTATTCAGAGTAAAAAGTATACTTAAAAAAAAAAAAAACTATATTATTGTGTAGGTTTGAGTTAACCCTACTTAGCTTACTGGAATCCAGTCTAGAAACAACAAACATGATTTTGGAACCCTAAGTCTTAGTGGTAAAAGTAGGCGGCAACCACGGGCAAGCTACTCTATTTTACGAAAATTTGAACGTATCCCATTGAATTAAAAATACCTTGAAATCAGCTTTGCATCATCTGATTTATTTACATTTGAATATTTTATAATAAAAAGGCCCGTTTTTTTTTAGTTATAACTTTGCCGACTTATGGAAAGATTTGAATCTATTAAAGATTGCCTTAAATATTCATAAGTATAAATGCTGAAAATGGCCAAAATTTGCGTGATAAATTAGATAGCATCTTATGGACTTGGCCCAAATGGTAACTACTCAAAGGATTCAACAAACTTTAAAGTTTATCACGAATAAAGATATTGGTAGTGGGAATAATTCAATGAAAACTTGTGCCCCGAACTTTTCACTTTGGCCCAATCAAAAAATTTTAATCTTAAATTTGTATTTTAAGGATTTTCATAATTTCCATATCAATGAAATTACAAATTTTAACACTGGGGCCAGGCAGGCTTCTAGGCACGCGTCTCATTCGCCTAGAGTCTCGAGCAGGGGTCGGGAACCTATGGCTCGCGAGCCAGGTGTGGCTGTATTGATGGCTGCATCTGGCTCGCAGACAAATGTTCAATTATAAAAAAGAAGTCGCATTAATGGTAAGAAATACTCATTATTGATTAGCAACAGCATATTGATGTTATTAAAAAAATTCAGAGACATAATTAATGCATTTTTAGTGTTGAAATTACACAAAATGCACACATTTTCTTGAATTTTTAGTTTTAAACATAATGTATGGCTCTTACAGAATTACTTTTCAAAATATGTGGTGTCCATGGCTCTCTCAGACAAAAAGGTACCCGACCCCTGGTCTAGAGGTTTATCCAGCATTGACTATATAAATGATTTCATAAAAGTTTTTATTTTTATAATTAAAATATATATATATATATATATATATATATATATATATATGGGGGGGGGGGGGGGGGGGGGGGTTGTAGTTATGCAAATATGATCATGGGCACTTGGCCTCCTGCAAATGGAACTCTAGTCGAGGAATTATATGATAAAGTGGACACTGTTAGTCATCTAACACAGTTTTGATAGCCCAACACTTAAATGGGAACTCTGGCTGTCCCATGGTAAACTGTATAAATGAGGCAAAGTAATCGAACGTGTGTGTTGGTGGTGGTTTGGGTTGGTGGTGTGGTTGGTGGTGTGTGTTGGGGATATTTGTTGGTGGTGTCTGTTGTGTTGGTGGTGGTGTGGGTTGGTGGTGTGGTTGGTGGTGTGTGTTGGTGGGGTGGTTGGTGGTGTGGTTGGTGGTGTGGTTGGTGGTATGGTTGGTGGTGTGTGTTGGTGGTGTGTTGGGTGTGGGATGGTGGTGTCTGTTGGTGTTGTGTGATGGTGGTGTGTGTTGGTGGTGTGGTTGGTGGGGTGTGTGTTGGTGGTGTTTGTTGGGGGTGTTTGTTGAGGGTGTGTGTTGGTGGTGTGGTTGGTGGTGTGGTTGGTGGTTTGGTGGTGGTGGTGTATGTTGGTGGTGTGGGTTGGATGGGTGTGACGGGGTGTGTGTTAGGGTGTGTGTTGGTGTTGGTGGTTTGGTGGTGGTGGTGTATGTGGGTGGTGTGGGTTGGAGGGGTGTGACGGGGTGTGTGTTGGGGTGTGTGTTGGTGGTGTGATTGGTGGTGTGGTTGGTGGTGTGGTTGGTGGTGTGGTGGTGGTGGTTGGTGGTGTGTGTTGGTAGTGTGTGTTGGGATGTGTGTGGAGGGTGTTTGTTGGGGGTGTTTGTTGGGTGTGTGTGTTGGGGTGTGCGTTGGGGTGTGGGTGGCAAAGTTACACAATCACGATTGTCAAATTTTAGTTAGATGTAAAATAATGTCTCCTTAAATTTTCTATAAGTTCCCATTTATGAGTTTGATTCAGCCAGTACCATCAGTTTATTGAGTTCAAACTAAGATTAAGGAGGGTGTAATGTACAATATAATATAACATCTATGACGTATCCGCCGCTATGGCATTATTTTTGTCTAGATCCTCCACAAGATCTTCTGTTGTGCATTCTATTTGTCTTTGGAAAATATTTTTTAAAAGTTTTTATCTTATTATAAATATCTTGCTTAATAAGATGTTTAAGCAATTTATGCAGATGGACAAATGGAATATATACATGTCAAATTAAAATTCATAAAGTAAACAAAAACTGTTCAAGAATAAATAATTTTAATCAAAACTGCATTTATCTGAACGTGTATTCACTCATTTTTCAAGGGAATGAGAATCACTGTGTTAGTGGGAATGCTTTTTGGTCCGTGAGTTGTCGGTCGTGAATTTGTAGTTCTATGTCTAAGTTGTCACTGCTCGAAAGTCAAAGAAAAATAAATATTTTAGGTGGGTAATGAGGTGTGTGATATCGAGAGTATTGATAGTTGTCGTAGTGCTAATCTCAGTACGTCAGGGTGCTGAATGTAAGGGTAGTTCTCATACTTGGGCCAAGGGTCCCCGCACGTCAGTGTGCTGAATGTTAGGGTAGTTCTCATAGTTTGGGCGCGGAGTTCCCGAGCATCAGTGCAAGTGGGTGTTAGATGAAGTTCAAGGTGGTCCTAAGGGTTTTTGGGTGGACACATTCAAACTCGTAGCTTGGTGAGGTGATACACTTCGTAAAGATTAAAGAAGAGCTGCATGTTATTGTTAATCACTGTCTTTAGTTGTTTACAACTGTGTCTCATTGTTTACAACTGTGTCTCATTGTTTACAACTGTGTCTCATTGTTTACAACTGTGTCTCATTGTTTACATCTGTGTCTCATTGTTTACAACTGTGTCTCATTGTTTACAAATGTGTCACTTGTTTACAACTGTGTTTCGTTGTTTACAATGGTGTTTCGTTGTTTACAACTGTGTTGTTGCTTCTTTTTACGTCCTTGTCATGACTTTTGGAGATAAGAGTCTATTGAAATATTTTGGGCTAGTCCTATGTCATGGCAAATTGTTTACTTTACAAAATACTTGTTTTTTTTGTTTTTTTATCTTAAAATTAACAATCCAAGAAAACAGAATTTTGACTTGTTTTAATGTCTCATGAACCTTGTGGCTAGTACAGAACAAGAAGCGTCTTTCAAAATAGTTATAAAACAACGTTTACCACTTAAAAATGAACTAAAAACTTCTTAGCCATATGTTCTTGAGGTTCAGTGTTAGTTTATTCAAATACATCTTGCATTCACAAAATACAAATATTGTATGAAAATGAGATATTAGCAGAAAACGAGCTAGTTAAGTGTATGGATAAAATGTGTTAATGGATAATACATTTGCGGCAATATAATGCTTAAGACTGATTTAGTTGACATAGCAAAGGTAACGCACGGAGACTGCGTTAAATCGAGCACGATTGCATGGCTTCCCACCAAGTGCAGTCGAACTATTTTACTAAACGCAGAAACAGGTTGGGACATGATTACAGTTGCCGTATGGATATGAGGTGAAGGTGTGTGGCAACCTTTCACCGGTGATTTTAAATATGCAGTCTTGAGGGTACTGCTCCAAGGCAACCTCTCTCTCCCATCTACGGTGTGAATTAGTCGCACCGTAGAATAACCATACAAACCCTAGTAGAGGGCGTCGGTCTTAAACAACTACGCGGTCCCCCCGGGGTGGTAAGGGGGGACTTTAGAGACGTTAAATATCCACCCCAACCCCTTAGAAAGTCCGGCCCTGTTGCTGCGTGAGCAGCAATCCGGCTGGCCAGGTGTTTCTTCTCTGGGGCTGCCACACTCAGCGGCCAATCGAGTGGAGGTCGAGTGTGGCGGTCTTTTCTTAGGGGCGGAGCGTCCCTGGCGTGCCGCTTCGCGGCCCGATCGGAATAAAGACCACTGGGGGAGTGGTTGACGGCCGGTTTGGTTGGCGGGGTGGTGCGTTGGGGAGGACCATATGAGCCTCAATTAGGCTCGGTGTTCGCTGATTTTCTTAAGTTAGTTAGTTAGTTAGTTAGTTGACATAGCGTTTTCATTAATTTTATTTCTAGGTTATGATTATAGTTTTGGAAATTCTGAAACTAAGGTAAATATGAAAATTTATTTTAAAGAAGCAAAATGGTGATTTAATTAATTTTGGTCAATAAGTTATTTAACGTTATGTATTGTGCTATGCATGATATTTCTTTATTTTATTTCGTAGTTTAATTCATTTTCTTAAGCTTAGGAAAACCAAATTGCAGGATGCAAACTTTTATAAACTCATGAAAGGGAAGTAACTCTACCAAAACAAAACGATAACGAATTTATTACAAATCAAAGTATTCATTGGTTTAAACAAATTGTAAGGTATAATTTGTCTTTTTAAAGAGTCATTAAAACATTAAAAATACTTTTCATAGATACCACCTATGATTAGCTCTCACCTGGTAAAGTAATAGAGTAATTTTTTGAAGAATACAGTTTTAAAATTTAAATTATAAACATACTTAACATAGTGTAGTATCATAGTAGATATATATTTTTAATGAAATGTAATTTACAAAAAAACCTCTTTTTCCATTGTCATTGATAATTTAAAAAAATATGAAATATTTTAGTCATATTCAAAAGATGAAGCAATAGTAAACGAAATGAACATTTCCAGATAAATAAAAACCTTGATTACTTGATTACATTGACTGATCAAAC